CCCCCCACACTATCCAGAAGCCGGATAGTCTTCAGCCCCCAGCGGATCATTTGGGCTGAATTTCAACCCCCCTACCCCTAAGTTGACTCCTGGACTTAGTCTCTGGGGGATGAAAAATTTAAAATCAACATAACAAAGTAACTAGTGCACCGATTCGGACGGGGTTTTTTTGCAAAAAATAACACAATTAAAGAGTTAACAAATCAGGGGGGAAGGACTCTATGTAGAGCACTTTAAATATTTTTGTGTTTTTGTTTTCTGCATTTTACTTAATACTAATTTAGAAATTAATAACCAATACGGTTTAACTTAAGTATAGAGTAAGATATGAATAGAGACGACTCTACGTAGAGCAAAGTAGAGTTTTAAGGAAATTAATTTAAAGAAACTTTTTACATTTTTAATAGTGAAATAGATATAAATAGAGATAGAAATTAAAACCAGACTCTTGGTAGAGCCAAGTAGATTGTTTAAATAATTTTGTTTTACTTTTGTTTTATTATACTCTTGTTCTTACTCTATTAACAGTACTGTTTATAAAGAGACCTACATAGTCATACAGAGACCTTGGTAGAGCTGGACTCTATATTATTTTATTTTATTGACTAATTTTATTTCATACGTGACACAGACCCCCCTTTACAGGGTCTAATATATATTTTACACACAGACCCCCCTTTACAGGGTTTTACATACGGACAACTTTCCCTGATCCATATACAAACACTTACACTATACACCGCACTCATACACATTCACACAATAATCATGTACCGCACACCCACGACCTCTGGCGCTGCCAAAAAGCCCACCACCCCCAGCCCTACCACCACAACCGTTGCAGCACAGGACGCTGCCAGGACCTTTATTAAAAGACCTGAAGCCAAAAGAAGATCGCTCGACAACATGGACATCTACAAAAAGCAGAAACATAATTACGCTGCATTGTCGAGCGATCAGCTCCTCCAGGAAATGATGAAAACTTTTGAGGATATACCCTCAAAGGTTCAGGAGTACCCTCAGATGAGGAAAGATATCAAACATTTCCTGGAGGTGCAGTCGGATAAGGGCATAAGAGCAATCTTCGAGCTCAGCCGACGTATACAGAGCCTCGAAGCAGACGCCCCAAAAATAGATTCACAAACAAAAACCTTGGCACCCGAAAGGCAAGATAGTATCATTAAGAAACTGGGAGAGGTGGAAGCGACACTTGCAGGGCGCATAAACGAGTTGGAACAAAGTCTGAAAAAAGACATAGAGGGACTCCATAACGGTAACGACGACCGAGGCTCTGACATGATCGACAAGATCACCGATAGGATCGATGAAACCAGGGCTGCCATAGACCAAACGACCGAGAAGGTCGAGAGTCGAACGCACGCCCTGATTAAAGATCTGATCGGTGGTATTGCCGATGATGTCACGGCAGCCAAAAAAGATCTTATGGAGGTCACAAAAGGACTGGCATGCGAAATAAACACAGCACCAGTCCTAAAGTCATACGCCAGCGTCGTAGCAGCCAGACCTGCCTACCGCCCTGCACTTCACTCAATGGCGGTCACCCTCGAAGGTGGTCTGGAGACTGCTGACGAGGTGCTCGCCAGAGTGAAAAAAGCGGTCGACGCTAGAGGCACTGGACTTAAAATTAACAAGGTTCGCAAGGCCAAGAACCAAAAAATTATATTGGGTTGCGATACTGAAGAGGAGAGTAAGAAAGTTCAAAAAATAATAGAGAGTCGCGGGGATGGATTAGTAGTAGCTCCTATAAAAAATAAGGATCCCCTCGTCATCTTGAAAGACGTTTTTATAGACAGCGAAGACGAAGACATAATTAAGGCGCTATACGCCCAGAATAAAGATGTTTTTATTGGTCTTACTGAAGAGGATATAGAAATGACAATAAAATTCAAAAAGCGGACAAGAAATCCGAAGACGGTGCATATTATACTGCAAGTGAAGCCTAATGTTTGGCAGAGGATGACGGAGGCTGGAGCCCTCTATCTAGACCTACAAAGGGTCAGAGTCGAGGACCAGTCTCCGCTCATCCAATGCACGAAATGCCTTGCATATGGACATGGTCGGAAATTTTGCATCGAAAGTGTGGACAGATGTAGTCACTGTGGAGGACCGCATCTGCGCGAGAAATGCGCAGATTTTACCGCAGGTAGTGAACCACAGTGCTGCAACTGCTCACACTCTGGGTTGCGGAGGACCGACCATAATGCATTTAGTGCTGAATGCCCGGTACCAAAAAAGTGGGACTACCTGGCTCGCGCAAACACGGCCTACGCCTGAATCTTTTACGACAAATTGCACTACACATTCAAACAGCCACAAAAGCACACAGGAACACAACAACACACACACAAGCATGAAATACACGAACACAAACTGACATACAGAATGTATATTGAATATACACGATTATATCAGCACAGTAACACTTAAATGAATCACAACACAAACAAAAAACAAAAAGAAAAAACAGTATGAAATAAAAATTAGTAAAAGAAATGGTCAATATATATATATAAATTTAGTATATATATTATATTGCCTAGGAAAGTGTGAGTAAAATATAGAAGGATGTATAAAATTAGAAATATGAGAGAAACTCACCAATCCTGACAAATACATAATTGTAAAGATGTGGCAAAATTGCAAATGTAAAACTAAATAGATTTAAGTTCTTACTGCTGTACAAACAATAAATATAAGAATAATTAAGAAATAGCAATGAACAATGTTAGAAATAAGACGTTAAAAAATAGTAGGTATATATTGACATTAGACTTATAAAAATAAAAATAGAATTAAGAAAAAGCTGTAGGAATTAAGAAATAAAATGATAAGTGTAATAGTTGTAAGTCAACAAATATGTAAACTAAGGAAATTTGTAAGTTAAATAAAATTAGCAAGTAAGATGTAGTGTTGAAATTTGTAAGCTTAAATAGTATATAAAGTGTAAATACTATTGAAGATATAACAGAAAATAAACAAAATGTAAGAACCTTTATTTTCCCAAAGGCAAGAACAACTAGGCATAGAGTAGCGGGAGTCCCACCCGGCAAAGAATGAGTGTGGATGGATAACAGAAAGACCAAGTATGCAGCCTGAAAGTGTGAATACATGCGAGAACTGGAATGTATGAGTAACATAGATTAATAAGGACCCGGTGATCCCATGATCGGGGAAAAGCGAAAAAAAAAAAAAAAAACCTAACCTAACCTAACCTAACCTAACCTAACCTAACCTAACCTAACCTAACCTAACCTAACCTAACCTAACCTAACCTAACCTAACCTAACCTAACCTAACCTAACCTAACCTAACCTAACCTAACCTAACCTAACCTAACCTAACCTAACCTAACCTAACCTAACCTAACCTAACCTAACCTAACCTAACCTAACCTAACCTAACCTAACCTAACCTAACCTAACCTAACCTAACCTAACCTAACCTAACCTAACCTAACCTAACCTAACCTAACCTAACCAGTATTCCGCCGTCTTCCGAGTCGTACGCATCGTTTCCGAGTTGCTCCGCGTTTGAAAAATCCGAAAAATAGGTCAAAGTTGTCCGATTTCTGTGAAACAAGTGTTGTCTCGTGTATCTCCGTGTGTTCTATGCACGAGTGATTGTTCCATTAGTGGGAGGTTAAGTGTCACAAGGATATTTCAGCAAAACACAGCGGAAAAACTGCAAAACAGGTAAAATTTCACTAAAAATTTTACACTAAATTGCGTACGCCGCTCATTTTAGATCGAAGACCTGCTGATTTTTATATCTTATTTTGTGGCATTCATATAGCTCTATCACTTGGCATAAGTTCTGGATTTTTTCGCTAATTAAATTTGGAGTAATTAGACGAAAACTGAAAAACCACGTGGCGTGTAAAATTAAAACCGCTATCGTGCGGTTGAATTTGAACACACATTATTATAGTACACTGATAAATCAATAATCCTGTACTTGTGGCACAGAAATCGGCATCGTATTCCAGAAGATATAGTCAAAAATGCAAAATTATTAAAACTGGCTCATTTTCACTCGTTGATTGCGCGTGATTCTTAGCGACGACATATTATTTTTAATTTATAATATAGTTGCAAAACTTATCCTTAAACTATTTGCAAAGTTCTGGATTTTTCGAACTTAAACTTTCCGAGTTATTTCAATTTTCCTGAAAACACTCTAACACGTGGTCTGTGTCTTAACAGTCTGGCGATATTTTTATCGCAAGGAAATCGTAGAGCACTAAAAACCGAAAAAGAATCCGTTTTCAGAACGGTTGTATCACTTTTCGTTAGAGAGATATAAAGTTTTCAGTGTTTTTTCAGGAAATTTCAGTATCTGTTCCCTTTTCGCTGATTTACATATCACAGTTGGCTTGCCCGTGTAATTCCACAAAATTAAAGCCCAAACACGACCATCATAGCACTTCCCGTTGCTGAGATATAAAGATTTATCGTTTTTCCACCATTTTGTCCGCCATATTGAAAATCTTGTTTGGCTCATATCTCGGAAACGGTTCATCGCAGAAGCGTGGGGTTTCCAATAGTCATCTTTAAATTGTCTTTAGAACAATTTAGGACCAAAAAGAACAATCGCCAAAAATCGCACAAACTGGCGATATATTCAAATACTTAGTGCAAAGACAATTTTAACAAGCCCAAACACGAATAATTTACCTCTGGTGGACAGGGAAATAGACCGTTTTTAAATTATCGACCGCCATCTTGGACCGCCATCTTGAAAATTTATATTTGCTATAACTCCCGAACCAGTGGTCGGATTTGAACGCGGTTTTCAACATTATTAAAGTTAAATAGCTCCCTAAAATCCTAAGTTACCACCGAAATCACCCGAACTGGTCAAGTCATCCGCCATCTTGAATATCTTTAAAGGCGTGTAACTCCATTTTTAATAGTCCGATTTTAACGCGGTTTTCGGTTACCTCAAGTGCATTTAGAACTCTATAACTTGAGGTTGTTTAGAAATGGCGGACAAACCAAAGAAAACAGCAACTGGCAGTACAGATAAACCACCTTCAATCAAAAGGAAAACTGTGACAAAAGCCATAAAGGGCTCCGGCCAAGTTCATACCGATATAGACACAAAGACAGCAGAGTTACCAACTCAGGAAACACAGGGTGAAAAGGTTTTGAACCTCTTGGAAATAGAGGAAGCCGAAAAACTGCACCACCAGACAGGGTGGAGTGCAGAAAAGGATGAACAGGGACCGCAGACCTCAGACTTGCTTCACTCTTCACCAAATCTCGACGAGGCAACATCATCATCTCCTGTGTTATCAAGGACTGGTGCAAGCCTCTTACGAATACGCACACAGATTAAACAGGCGAGGGCTGCAGAAGCCAAAGAAGCCCTAAAAACGTTGTCGGAGACTGAAGACACCGCAGAGTCGGATATTGACAGTGGAGACACTAACACGTCCCTCAATACTTCCACGAGGTCGATTGGAGGAAACCGGATGCTCCTTAATGATTTGCCCAGACATGCCAATGAAGTGCTGCAAAGAACGAAGGCAGAGTTGGAAAAATCTGGAAATCTAAAGAGGGAAATCCGGGAAAGTGTCGTCTCGGGGATGTATACATTATATGAAATGGTCCTCAAATTGTCTGATTCGAGAATTTTACACATTCTTGAATCCAGCAAACAAAAACTAAATGTCTCACGTGAATCAGAAAGGCTCACACAAAGGCATGCAAGGTTCATGCACGAGACTTTAGGACAATATGCTAACTTAAAAGAGAACGTAGAAAAGCTTTTGAAAGAAACAGAATCTACCCGATCAATTGTCTCGTATGACCTTTGTGAGGCGGTAACGGCAACAAAGAAAGAAATCGTGAATGTACGTAAAGAAATCACCCTAGGTTCATCCATCTCGAGTCAGATGCAATTCTTGATGGAGGAACTAAAGCAACTTCGGGCGAACACCGACACCCTTAAGAACCCTACTCGTCAAGAAATTGACTTATCTCGCTTCGCCGAAGAGCTGCAGGAACTCCGTCAGGCGGTTAGAGAACTCACCAAAGATAGGGTAATCCCGCAGACACAAAGTAGTGAACACAGCCCAGAGATACCAAACCAAGAGATGTTATCGGAAAAACATCACAAAAAATTTATCGAGGAACTTCAGGATCATATCTCAGAAATCAAAGCACAAATAACAGCAGAGGTAGCAGAATTAAGGCACGAAATCCTGAAGATAACGAGAGATATCAAAGGAATAACTGATGCCTCATTCAATTCTCAGCTACCCTCAGTCCAGGCAAACCTGGAAGAACTGAGAAGAGAGACGAGAGAACTGCGAGACACCACGGTGGATTCAGCAGCTCCAATTAGAGTTGCAATAGAGAGCCTCAGAAAAGAGCTAAAGAACCAACCAGGTGTAAATGAAGCAGACTTCACTGGTAACAACTCTCAACTAAAAGGGGATGATATAAACGATTACGAGAAAAGAGATCAAGCAACAGTATTCAAGCATAAAAGCTTCACACGTACATTCTCAGAGGTGGTGATGAAGCCGCATTATCCGGTGATAGTGGAATCGGCTGACCCTAGGAACACTAGCGATGATATCATAAAACAGGTCAAGAGCGGGATCGACGTAGTCGGGCTTGGGATCGGCATCAGTAACATGAGAAAAGCGAAAAATCAAAAAGTTCTCATTAGCTGTGAATCTGAAGAGGACAGAAGCATCCTCCAAGAAAAATTAAAGAACAACACAGCCAAGCTGACGGTCTATAGGCCGACTATTAAGAACCCACTCCTACGCCTAATAGGTGTGGTTTTTGACCTAACCGATAAAAAGATCGAAGAAGCAATAATAAAGCAAAACAGCACTCTTTTACAAGGCATCTCATCAACGCAACAATACGTCAGAGTAGTAAGAAGAATAAAGGGTAGAACTAGCTCCACAAGCAACATCATACTCGAAGTAAGCTCACAAATCTGGAGCAAATTGAGAGACAAGAAAATCAGACTCGGCTTTCAGATAGTCCCGGCAGTTGATCAGTCACCGGTTACTCAGTGCTATCGATGTCTTGGGTTTTCTCATCGAGCACGAGAGTGCCAAGCTCAAAAAACATGCTGTGGGTATTGCGCTGAGGAACATGACACCAGAGAGTGTCACAATAGAGATAAAGCGCCTAAGTGCAAAAACTGCGTAGAAAAGAATGAGTGTGACACGAAGAGTGCACACCTGCATATAGCTCAGAATGTCTGGAATGGAGGAAATGGGATCGGATAGCAAGAGCAACGATCACATATTGCTAAAGTCACCGACGTTTCCTCACAAAGACCTTCGAGCAGAAAGTATGGAAAAATAAAAATTGCCCAAATCAATCTCGGTAGGGGACAATTAGCCCAACAAGAATGCCTGCAGGCGGCCGAAACGCAAGGAGTGGCTATTCTCCTAATACAGGAACCCTATGTAGGAGCAAAAGCACACGTTACCAGCCGTCACGCAGTTATACAAAAATACACTACAGACACACAAAAACCGGTCAAGTCAGCTGTCATTGTCGTTGACCCGTCCATACAATATACTATAAACCCTGAAACTATTACCGAAAACATTGTCGCGTGTAATTTTAAAATTAATAACCTAGATATTAGTATTGTGAACGCTTATATGGAAGAAGGCCAAAACATCGATGAAGATTTAAGAAAGATATCAAAATCCATTGACACACTGGGAAACGACCATGTCATATTTGGAGGGGATATAAACGCAAAAAGTCCCTGGTGGGGTTGTAGCGTGGAAGATGGACGGGGAACAGCCGTTGCTGAGACCTTAGCCCAACTGGGGTTAAACATACTTAACACAGGAAGTACACCAACATTTTGGGCACACAGAGGAGATAAAGACTACACAAGTATTGTGGACATAACCGCATGCTCTAACAACATATACCACAAAATATTAAACTGGAGGGTTAATCCTGACTTTGTCACTCTGTCGGATCACAGAGCGATTATGTTTGATGTAGAACCTGGGAATTCAATAAGGCAACCTAACCAGCGGAAATCTACCCGCATCTATAATACCAGCAAAGCGGATTGGAACAGATTCACCGCCACATTACAAACAGAACTACAGTCAATTAATATCACTGAAGAAGCAACCATGAACATAGCAACAACATGGGCCTTAGAAGACTTGATCATGCAGTACGTTGAATGCCTACGAAAATCTTGTGATATAACAATCCCAAAGTTATCTCAAAGAATACCCTCAAAGACACCATGGTGGACAAAGGAATTAAACGAAAAGAAAAAAGAACTCATACGAAAAAGAAGAAAAATTAAATTTGCTAACAAAAACAGGAAACAGACAGTAATTGAGGAATATCTTATAACCAAAGTGGAATACAAAAATCATCTAGAAGAAGCTATAACATCGAGCTGGAAAGAATTCTGTACTAGGCAGGACCGGGAGAATATGTGGCAAAGTATCTACAGGGTGATACGTAAATCTCACAAAACTCCTGAAGACACATTATTACGGGAAACAGCAACTAGTGAGATAACGACCCCAAAACAATCTGCACAGCTCTTATCAAATATTTTCTACCCTAACGATGACATACAATCAGACGAACAAATACACACAGAAATAAGAAACAAGTCAGAAAATAATAGGAAAGAGTGGGCCAATAACCAGAATAAAGATGTAATAATCCCATTCACCAACACTGAAATTGAAGAAATATTTAAAAGCATGAGCCCTAAAAAATCGCCTGGAGAAGACGGCCTTACATCTGACATATGCTTCAGAGCCTATGAGGCGGCTCCACAAATCCTACTAGCCATATACACTAAATGCCTTCTACTTGGGCATTTTCCTAAAGTTTGGAAAAGAGCGATAATTCGAGTGATTCCAAAGCCAAACAAGGAAAACTATACCCTCCCAAAGTCTTATAGACCAATTGGCCTTCTACCTGTCCTTGGGAAAGTACTAGAGAAGCTATTTGTTAATAGAATGATGTGGCAATTATGGTCCGAAAACAAAATGAGCGGGCGGCAGTATGGTTTTGTCGCCCAGCGCGGTACAGAAGACGCCCTGTATGATGCCCTGGAAATTGTAAAACAAGGCTTAAAACGAAAGGAAATTGTGGTCGTCATCTCCATTGATATTGAGGGCGCATTTGACAATGCCTGGTGGCCCGGAATGATAAACGAGCTAGAAAATAAGAAAGTAGATAAATCAATATGCAGGTTAATAAGCAGTTATCTACAGGACAGGCAAATAAAACTCACTTATGCTGGTCATGAGGTGGTAAAGGAAACTAACAAAGGCTGCATACAGGGATCTACCTGCGGACCCCTGCTATGGAACTTGCAGCTCGACCCATTACTAACAGAAGTTGAAGGTCTAGGAACATACATTCAAGCATACGCAGACGATATAACGATAATAGCTAAAGGAAAATCAGCAAAAGATCTAGAAAATGAGCTAAACCCGGTATTAAACCACATCATAAAATGGGCAAAAAAAGAGAAAAATGAAACTGGCACCCCAGAAAACTCAAGCTATACTGATAACAAAAAAAACGAAATTCGAAAATCCAAAGATAGTACTGGGAGGAACGGAAATAATTATCTCTGACACGATAACAATACTTGGACTCACAATTGACGCCAACCTAAATTTCCTTAAACATGTAGACAGGGTAACTGAAAAAGCAATCCAACTTTATAAAAAAGTGGCAAAAACAGCAAGAACAAACTGGGGCCTGAATCCTGAAATTCTTAGGACAATCTACATAACTGTAGTAGAACCAACCGTATTGTATGCTGCAAGTGTATGGGGACATGTGGCGAATAAGAAACAAATAAAAACCAGGCTTGACAGGATAACGAGAACTTTCAGTATACTGATATGTAAAGCACACCGTACTTCTTCTTTAATTTCATGCGCCACTTTAGCTAGAATTCTTCCCCTAGACCTAAGAGCACAAGAAAACGCCGACCTATTTAGAATTAAAAGGGGGAAACCACTGGAACAATTACCAGGCAGGGAACTAGCAAAAGCTGTAAGTCCGTACTCGCTACCTCATCCAGCCAAACGCGTGAACCAACCTTATAACTTAATAACTGCAGAGGAAGATCTTGACTCTATCGGAAATGACTGGCCCTGCATATATACTGACGGGAGCAAGATTACAGGCAAAGTGGGAGCAGCTATCACCTGCTGGAAAGACGGGAAAGAAATATATAAATCCAGATTACGTCTTGGCGATCATTGTAGTGTATATCAAGCAGAATTAGCAGCTATACTAAAAGCCACAGAAATAATCCTAAGCAAGAAAACACTAAAAATGGCAAACATCCTCAGTGATTCTAAATCGGCGCTGGAAAGTCTCACTAACCCTAATGCACTACACCCCCTCGCAGCAAAAATTATGGAAAGTATGCGAGAAATAGAAAGCAATCAAGGCAAAGTTAGACTCTTTTGGATCAAAGCCCACTGCGGCATTCCAGGTAATGAGAGGGCAGATGAGCTCGCAAAGTCCGCCGCGGAGACACTGAAGCAGACTCCAGTGTACGACTGTTTTCCTCTCTCTTTCGCAAAGCGCTCCATCAGGGACAAATCTTTGCTAATTTGGCAAGAAAGATATACAACAGCACTAACGGGACAAGTGACAAAGAAGTTCTTCACAACTGTTAAGCAAGCTTACAAAACCATGAAGAATATCAAGATTAATAATATGAGATGTCAAATTTTTACTGGACATGGAGGTTTTAAGGCGTATCTATGTAAATTTAAACTGACGCAGAGCCCATGCTGTGACTGTGACCAGTCAACACCACAAACAATTGAACATGTGCTAATAGATTGTCCCAAATATGCAGTACAAAGAATAAGCTGCGAACACCGCATGGGCTTTGCACTAAATGAAACTACACTTTGTAAGGCTATCAACGACAATGACAGCTACATGCATTTCCTTGATTTTGCTGAAAATTGTTTGAAAAAGGTACTCAAGGAAAATGGATCTAAAGTATACTAACATATACTTATATAAAAAAAAATATATATATATATGTATATATATATATATATATATAGTATATATATATATATAGTATAGTATTTATATTATATTTATATTCCGTAGAAACATTTAAATAGATAATTCGTAGTAGTAAGTAGCTGTAGAAACAATAAGTACTAGTATTGTATAAGTAGTTATGGTAATACTAGTAGTGTAGTAAAACTGTAGATTAATATGTTCTTCTTAAGTTTACGTTTTTAAGCTTTATAACTTTTTGATCACTTGCAGAAGAACAGTCATGTAAAATTCTAAAGTGCATGTAAGATAAAATACGGTAGAATATTGTTAATAAAAAAAAAAAAAAAATTAAAAATTGTGTAGTACACAATCCGCGTATAATATTGATTAATACATTACATAGAAACATTCAAATAGATAAAACCATAGTATTAGGTAGTTTTAAAAACAATAAGCATTAACAGTGTATTAGCAGTTACAATAATAGTGTAGTCAAACTGTAGAGTATCATGCGCTTCTAAAGTTTTTGTTTAAAGCCTCATAAGTTTGTAAGTACTTGCAGACGAACAGTTATGTAAAGCTCTAAATATTATGCAAGATAAAATACGGTGGAATACTGTTAATATAAAAAAAAAAAAATAAAAAAAAACCTAGTAAAAGAAAATAGATAAAAAAATAAAAAAAAGAAATAAAACAAAGGTGCTGTAAAAGAAATAACAGCAGATGAACTGAGTTAAAAAAAAAAAAAAAAAAAAAAAAAAAAAAAAAACCTAACCTAACCTAACCTAACCTAACCTAACCTAACCTAACCTAACCTAACCTAACCTAACCTAACCTAACCTAACCAACCATATATTTGTTAATAACTTTCCTGAAAATTGGCATTTTAAGTTCAAATCTTCTGTAAATAGTGCAGTTGATTGCCCCTCATATTATCTTATAGTTTTTTTAGTAAATTTTAGCCGCTATATAATTAATTTTTATATTTATATTCTCTTATTATCGTAAATTCGTAATTTTAAACATAAATTCATCTTTAATTTGGCTGAAAATTAGCCTTTTCCGTTGAAATTTACTTTTAAATAGTACAAATAACCGACCCCGTATTCCCATATAGTTTTCTTTGTAAATTTTCACATTTAAATATCAAATTTTCATAGTTTTCATCTTTTTATAGTCTTAAATTCATCAAATTTTTAAACTTTTTTAAATTTTCGCTTATCTCGTTCTTTTTGCTCCTGTTAGGTCCGTATCGTGTAGAAACTACCATCTGCACTCTAATTTCCTTCAGAAAACACACGAAATACGAAAAAATCACTACTTACCTAAACCGAGGTATAGTGGTCGATCCTTACAACTGCATAAATTTAACCATATATTTGTTAATAACTTTCCTGAAAATTGGCATTTTAAGTTCAAATCTTCTGTAAATAGTGCAGTTGATTGCCCCTCATATTATCTTATAGTTTTTTTAGTAAATTTTAGCCGCTATATAATTAATTTTTATATTTATATTCTCTTATTATCGTAATTTCGTAATTTTAAACATAAATTCATCTTTAATTTGGCTGAAAATTAGCCTTTTCCGTTGAAATTTACTTTTAAATAGTACAAATAACCGCCCCCCGTATTCCCATATAGTTTTCTTTGTAAATTTTCACATTTAAATATCAAATTTTCATAGTTTTCATCTTTTTATAGTCTTAAATTCATCAAATTTTTAAACTTTTTTAAATTTTCGCTTATCTCGTTCTTTTTGCTCCTGTTAGGTCCGTATCGTGTAGAAACTACCATCTGCACTCTAATTTCCTTCAGAAAACACACGAAATACGAAAAAATCGCTCCCCCACCCCACCCTGTTTTTCTTACTTAAATAGACTTGTTGGAAATCTATATCGATTTTTATTTATATCGATTAAATTTTTTTATGTTAATCGATTTTATTATTTCTTAAACCTGTACATAAAAACACCTAGTCGAAACAAAAATCGACCTTCCACCCGATTTTCATCACTTTGGTCAAACTTTAGTTTTTTATTTTTATTTTCCTTTTTCTCGTTTTCGAAATTTTTACTTCTTACAAATATGTCTCAACTTGAAATTACTGGCACGGATGTGGTTATCAGTCAGAGATTCACAGCTGCACAAAACATCTCCCGGTTAGCGAAGGACATTATAACCTGCATCCAAAATGGTAAAAGTGTTACAGCTGAAAGGAAAAGCAGCATTATCAACATGGCTAATGAAATAATGCAGTTATCAACTCGTATTGAGGCTACTTCTGGAAGCGCCGATTGTGGAGAAATTCAGAGCATCCTGAAGGGGTGCATTAAAGAGGAACTGGCGATATTAAAAACAGAACTGAAGCAGCCTTCTTATGCCCATATTGTAAAAACAACACCTGCTATACAGAAAGCTCCCGAACAGCGACGCACTAAGCATTCCCTTATTGTAACTGCCAAGACAGATACCAAGAAGGAAACCGTGGAGGCCTGGCGTAAGAGTTTCTCTTTTAAAAAATACCACATTCGCTCCATCTAAGGTTACACCCTTGTCAAACTCTAAGTTATGTGTAGAGTTTGACACTGCGGAACAACGGGATTACGTTATTAAAAATATCAATGAGAGTGAAAGTAATGTGACTGTTCAAGCTGCTAAAAAATTGAGACCCATGATTCAACTAAAAGGCATTTCAAAAGACGTCCCAGTCGACGAACTCGTGAGTGTCTTCAAACGACAGAACCCTACAATTAATGATTTAGTTCAAACTGATACTGATATTGTCCTCCGATTTCAACGTAAAAACAAAAATAATGATTTATATAATGCAGTTCTTCTTGTAACACCCTCAATTTGGAAAAATGCGATCAAAATGGAACGCGTCAATATCGATCACCAAAAAATATATGTTGAACAGTTCTCGGCGCATCTTCAATGTTTTAAATGCTTACAGTTCGGTCATATTAAAAAATTTTGTACATCAGACACACAACCTTGTTCTCACTGCGCATCTCAGACACACAATTTTGTAAACTGCCCAAATAAAAATAATCAGGCTAAGACGTGCTGCATTAACTGTAACACCTACAATCAAAAACACAAAACTAACAGAGACACAAAACATTCCGCTACATCAAATTCTTGCCCCACCGTCCAAACTATGATTAAACGTGCTATTGAAAAAACTGATTATGGATATTAAGCCCAATAAGAAAAATAACCAACGTAATTTATCTCAAATTCAACGTAACCAGTATACAAACAGAAAGGAATGTGTTAATAATTTTAATTTTCTCAATTTCGTGCAATGCAATCTTGGACGTTGCAAGGAAGCGCAACACGAGTTTTCTTTATTTTTGAGAGAAAATGACATTCACGTGGCCCTAATAAATGAACCCTATCTAGGAGAAACAAACTTAATGAAAAAAGTTGATGGATACACAATATACCAGTTCCAATCAAATCGACCTGTTAAAGCATGCATATTGATAAAAGAAAATTCATTTAGCACCCTCGGTATTTCAGAATACTCCAACTCTAACTGTTCAATAGTACGAATAAATAAGGCGGGCAAACAAATATACCTCATAAGTGTATACATAGAACCACGTAACGATATATATGACACCATGAATCAACTCAAACTGTTCCTAGAAAACACAAAAGAAGCGCGTCACATAATTGGAGGTGACTTTAACGGCTGGCACTGCCTTTGGAACTCTAAATCAAACAACAGAAGGGGTAATATAATAGCTAACTTAGTATATACTTATGACCTAGACGTATGCAATCAGGGCACCACGCCCACTTTTGAACAATTACACATGGTATACATAGAGACTCAATTATTGACCTAACATTAACAAGTAACTCACTAGTAAACCAAATTATGGATTGGAAAGTTAATCTTGAAATATGTCCTTCTTCAGATCATAATGGCATTGAATTTAAATTACATCTAGATGACCGTAGCATAAAGAAAAACAAAAGACTGTCAACCTTTAGATACCACACCACCCGTATAAATTGGGACAACATAGAGGAAAACTTCAAAAAAGAAATCAATAAAGCACTTCCAACACAAGAAAATATATGCAAATTAGACACAGTGCAATTAGAAAAATTTATAGTAAATATGACACTAGCAATACAAAATGCATGCAATGTAACTTTGCCTCGGGCTTTAAGCAAAAAATCACAAAATCCTTGGTGGTCGACAGAACTAGAAAATATGAAAAAGGAGCTCATAAAGAAACACCACACAATTCATCAACTTAAACGTCGAAGCCTACCGCTAACGGAAGCTATAGATGAGCGTAATAAATTGAAAGCGGAATACTCTGAAGCATTAAAAAATGCATCAATCTTAAACTTCAAAGAATTCTGCAATAAACAGGGAAAAGACGATGTCTGGTCACTGACCAATAAATTACTTAAAACCAAACCTCTTACTCAACCACCATCGACTGTAAAATTAAGAAACGGTTACTATACTGTAAATACTACCGAGGCGGCAAACGTATTTCTAAACGAATACTTCCCTGATGACACACCTGATGTGACAGAACAGCAGCGTGAAGCAAGATCACTCATGGAAATTTCTCCAAAGACCACTCCTGACCCGTCATTCACCACTGAAGAGATCTTGGACTGCCTCGGAACTATGAATCCCAACAAGTCACCAGGGCCCGACCATCTAACGTCAGACATTTGTCTAATGTTTGCGAAATGGTATCCTTCAACGGTCACTTCAATAATGAACAGATGTTTGGAGCTAAAATATTTTCCGAAAATATGGAAGGAAGCATACATCAAAATAATACCTAAACCTAACAAATCAGACTATTTCGATACTGCTGCATACCGACCTATAGGATTAATAAATGTTTTTGGAAAGCTATTAGAAAAACTAATAATTCAAAGAATCACACACCACATCACCAGTAATAAACTTGCATGCAATAACCAATATGGATTTAAAGAACGAACTAGCACCGTACATGCCTTAAAAAAAGTAATAGATACAGTGAAGCAATCCAAATCAAACAATGAACATGTAATAGCCATTTCGTTGGACATACAAGCAGCTTTCAATAACGCTTGGTGGCCATTAATCTTCAAAAGACTGCACAAGATCAAGTGTCCTAAAAATTTATATGATATAATGCGCAGCTATATTCAAGATAGGAAAGCGCAGATTGATTTTGCGGATAGCTCAGCCACAAAGATACTCACACGCGGTTGCATCCAAGGATCAGTGTGTGGACCAACTTGTTGGAATCTGATTTTGGATGAACTTTTAGAGTTTAAACTCCCAGAAGGGTGTCACATACAAGCATTCGCAGATGATGTTACACTTATTGTTCATGATAGAAATTTAGAGCTTTTACAGAATAAAACCAATCAAGCTTTAGAGATGATCACCCAATGGGGATTTAATGCAAAATTAACGTTCGGACCTCAAAAGACGCAGGCAATAGCGTTCACTAACAAAGCTGAGAAATGCGTATTAAAAATCAATAATCAACAAGTACACTTTAAAAATACAATTAAGCTCCTTGGCATCACCATTGATAAAAAACTGAATTTCACACAGCACGTAAAATCCATTATTGATAAAGCACAAAATATATATCAAAAACTCATTAGATTCGTCAGACCTACGTGGGGTATACATGGAGATAATATAACAATAATATATAAACAAGTAATTGAACCGATCATCTGTTATGCATCTAGCATATGGCATGATGCAATAAAATTTGAATGTGTCCGGAAAAAACTCTTGTCGTTACAAAGAGGTTTTGCCATAAAAATAGTTCGTGGTTTCCGAACTCTTAGTACAGCAGCATCCATTTCACTAGCTAACTTAACACCCTTGCCTGCAAAAATTTTAGAAACTGCTGAAATTGAAAACACAAGAATAACAGGAATATCAAAATTTTTGCCACAAGATATCACACTTGACGGACCAGTGCAACCTTCAACAATTCTTCATCCAGCGAATAGAGTTAAAATAAATTTCAATATAGCTTCAGAACAGGAACATATAGTAGAACACGTACCTCCAGGCAGTTACCAAATATATACTGACGGCAGCAAAACAGACGGAAATGTTGGAGCAGCATTTGTAGTATATGGCCCGCAACAGAGAAAAGTAGTTAAAAAAATTTAAATTACACAAGTGTTGCTCAGTATTTCAAGCAGAATTATTAGCAATAAATAAGGCTTGCCATTGGATCCTCTCTAATAAAATAAGTAAAACAGTTATTTTATCAGACAGTCAATCGGGATTAATAGAGCTAAACAATCGCTACAGCAGAAACAGACTTGCAACTGAAATTCAGGAAATAATATATAAAGCTAAATCCTTAAATTACGTCATAGATTCCATTTGGGTCAAAGGACATGCAGGCATATTAGGAAATGAAGAAGCGGATGTAGCGGCAAAATCTGCAGCAATGAGTCATAACAAAATAGAATATTCAATGTTTCCCCTCAGTCATATAAAGACGAAATGTCAAACAATTAGTCAACAAGCCGCGAATGATTTATATATGGAAACAAATAATTGCAGATACACTAAAAAATGGTGTCCAACATTCGAAATCCTACAAAAAGTAATCAAGTGCCTTAAAATAAACTTTCAATTGACTCAAATCTTAACAAATCATGGATTTCATAAAGAATATTTGTACAGATTCAAAATAGTAAGTAATGACCGCTGCCCCTGTGATAATTCCTCTATTCAATCAATAGAACATCTTATTAAGAAGTGCCCAAAATATGGAACAATAAGACAGAATCATGAAATAATGTCTAGTATGCATAAAGTAGATCCGTATAATATTATAGAAATTATATCAAAAGAAAGTACAACTACATCTTTTATAACTCTTGTCCAAAGTATAATAAATTCTTTAAAAGAATTTAATAAAACCCATTCCAGTAGCTAGAATTGTAATGATATGGTCTAAGTGTTAAGAACCACTCCCACTGAATTCTCCACTTTGGAATTGTATACCGTTCGCAATTTCAATTTGGATTACAACAAATAACAAAAAAAAAAAAAAAAAAAAAAAAAAAAAAAAAAAAAAACCTAACCTAACCTAACCTAACCTAACCTAACCTAACCTAACCTAACCTAACCTAACCTAACCTAACCTAACCTAACCTAACCTAACCTAACCTAACCTAACCTAACCTAACCTAACCTAACCTAACCTAACCTAACCTAACCTAACCTAACCTAACCTAACCTAAACCTAACCTCCAACCTAACCTAACCTCCCAGTTCGCGTCATCCACCGAAGCGTTAGCATCGTTTTAAGTGAGCTCCGCTTTCTAAAAATCGGGAAAAATAGTTAATTTCGTGTGACAGTGAAGTGCAATATATCAAATTGTGCGGAAATGTGTTAGCTTTAAGTTGGATGCAGCGGTTGCAAGTACACTATCTTGTGTGAAGAGATATTGGAGAATTTTGCCGAATTTCATAAAAATCAGGTAAAATTTGACCATATTTTGCTAAACGCTGCGAAAACTAAAGCTGTTACCCATACTTTTTTTGATCCCATAATTTGATGCTCTGTACTGTGCACATTTTCTTCGTTTTTCCGGAATTTTTCAGTAAGAAAATCCCAAGTTATAAGGGTTTTTCTCAGAACCACGTGGCCACGTGTTTTCGGAATTCGAAGCGTGCGGCTAAATTGAACTTTGAATATTGGTAGCCCTTCTTAAGACCTTTTATCTGGTATATTGCATATAAAAATCGGTGCACTCTATAAGATTTTATAAAGTAAAAACCGGAAAATTATATTAATTTGAAATTTTAACACCAAATAACTCGAAAACTAAATCGGGTACCTATCTTTTTTAACTTGTATATCTGTAGTATAAAGAATATTCTAATATTTTGTAAAATCTTAGATTTTTCTCGCAAGAAAAATCGGAGATATTCTTAATTTTGTAAAATTTTTTAAACACGTGGTCCCAGTTCCGGAGGGTCTACATTACCAAATATTTAATATTCGGAAGTAGAATTAAAATTGTAAGTAATTGACACTTTTTTCAAAATTTTCGGACTTATACCTCAAAAGTTATTGCTATTTTACTACTTTTTTACTGTTTTTTGTATTTTATTCGAATTTTATCACAGAAAGTATATAATTTAATGATATCAATAAATAGAACGCACCGAGACCGATCTGGCAATACCAAGGTCGGGGGGTCTACCTCTTTCCACTACTGAGATATACAAAGTTTTTAATTTCGGTCGCCATCTTGGAAAAACGTCAAAAACTTTGAACGAAGATATCTCACTAACCACTGTTCATAGAGAGTTGCGGTTTTCAATATACTTGTTAATATAAGTAGAAGACTACTTTAAAGTAAAAAAGCAGCCACCTAAATAACCCACTTATTTTATACCATTACTGGACGGCCGGCAGTTCACTGAGAAGATTGAGCCCAAACTCGGGTATTTTAGGAGTACTAGAAGAGCATAAAAACCAAATTAGAACTAAGTCAGCCATCTTGTTCCGCCATATTGACAAATTTCATTTTGTCATATCTTTGGAACGGAGGCTCCTATTGAGCTGCGGTTTTCGACAAAGTGATTGTTAACACCAGCTCTATTGATATTTTACCTCACCGACTCTACATAGAGTCTGTGAACGTTATTCGAAGACGGTGACTTTTAGCACACTGAGTCTTTTGCATAGCTGATAGAAAGCCTCACCTTGCATACCCCACATTGTAATAAATCTTCTGACTTTACGTAAAGCTTGGGAAATCGACTCTAACAAAAAAAAAAAAATGTCGATTAAATCTAGCAAATCTTGTGTAGAATTAGCGAAACAAACCAAACCCACGTCTAGGTCGGTTCGAGGAGTTAGTCCCTCCTCGGCCCCAACATTACGAAAGAAAGTCCTCATGCAAAACGCAGCTTCCTCCAAAAAGGTGTCAGAAGATACAGATAGAATGGATAGGGGAATGGCTGAGAAAGTCGAGGCCACCTCCGAATCTGTCACCAGTAATATTATTATGGGAGAACCTAATGAAAAAACCAATATAGCAACTATGAAAACAAAGGGACCCGAAACTGCCACTGATGATAATACATCTTTTGACATTGAAGCTGAGCTTGGTCTTCTAGGACTATGTAAACCAGTGCACCGCACGGATGATGAGTGGTCAGATGTCGAAAGTATGGTAAGTGGAGAAAGTAGGAGGTCTAGCATCTTGCCACCTGCTTACAAACGAGCTGGCATTTCTATGGACCTCGCTACACAGCGAGCAAACGACTTTTTGCTCGCAGGCAAAGAGGCCCTGGAAAAAGCCGGAAACATGAAGCGCGAGTGCAAGCAGGAGGTACATGATTGCTTACAAGGCCTCTATGAAACAGTGCTGTCACTCTCTGATTCACGCTCTCGTCATCGACTGGCTTTAGAACAGGAACGCAGTCGAGCAGCGAAAGAGCTGGTGAGAGTTGAAAGAGCACATACGAAACAGCTAACAGAGCTTCAATCCACCTATACTCAGAGACTTAAAGTCATCCAAGAGGTCATGCAGGAAACGCAAAAATCGACAGAGGCAATAAGGGGTTGGCTAAATTACGAAATGGATGACCCTATAAAAGTTATATACAAAATAAAACAGGAAATACATGAAATATCAACCAAAACAAGCCAAGATCTATCTACTTGCATCACTGGCGAACAATTAAGGAAAGAACACACATACAATAGGGAAGAATTGGCGTCAATAGAAAAACAAGTAAGTGGCATCATGGAAAAGCTTAATGCACTTGGTTCTGACATCAAAGTCTTTAAAAATAATGTAGCGGACAAAGAAAGTATTGAACACATTGCGCTGGCTCTAAACTCATGGAAAGATCCTCGGATTGATGATATTGCCAATAACATGTCAAATATTAAAGATACAATCCGTAATCTGCAAACACAAGTCATAAATCTGACATCTCCACAGTCAACAGCTATGGATAGTACATCAACAGCCATAGAACCAGTCTTATGTAGATTAGACAAAATCACTGAGGACATAAAGGAAATAAGAGACTACGGAGTAAGCCAAAGTGCGTTTCAGAATAACGCAGGTTTGGGTGCGGAGCTGGCAATTGCAGAAATCAGAGACAAGCTTAATCATCTAGAGACATATAACTGTAGCACCATAACAAACCAAATAATGGAAAGTCCCAAAAATGTCCCAATAAAAGAACAACAAGCCACTCGCCCAATAAAATCTTATGCAGAAGCACTTACTTCACCACGGTTTGCTCTTGTTGTTGAATCTTCGGATCCCAGACATACAAGCGAAGATGTTGTTAACACTATAAAGAGCAACATCGATGTGGTACAACTTGGAGTAGGTATTAACAATATAAGAAGGGTTAGAAATCAGAGGGTGCTTCTCTCATGCGACAATGACGAGGACCGGCAAAAGCTTCAAAATGCAATAAAAAACTCGAATCAGAAGCTTACGGTCTCAAAGTCAACAGCTAAAAACCCACTAATTAAATTAATAGGAGTAGCTAATGATCTAAACAATGTAAAACTAGAAGAGGCATTAGTTAACCAAAACATGAAGCTCCTAAAACACATCGAAATAGAAAAGATTAAGACCAAGGTCTTGAGACGAATTAAGGGGAGAACAGCGGCAATTAACAATATAATATTGGAAGTAAGCCCTGAGGTATGGAAGGCACTGAAAGACCAAAGACTGCATGTGGGATACCAAGTGGTACCCGCCCTGGACCAATCTCCTGTTGTGCAATGCTACCGATGTATGGGATTTGGACATAGGGCTAGAGAGTGTTGGGCAGATAATTCAACCTGCGGGTATTGCGCAGAGGACCATGACAGCAGAGAATGTCCACGCAGTAATGGAGTACCAACTTGCGCCAACTGCACTAAAAACAAAATTGTGGGTGATCTCAGTCATGTAGCATACAGCAATGAATGTCCAGTGTGGCAGAAGTGGGATCGCATAGCCAGGTCCTCGGTAGCATATTGCTAAGATTGATCAGGGTATTAACATCGAGCAATTACGGTTAAGTACACACTCCTCTGCTGATAATGCACCAAATTCAAACTCAGCGCATACACTAACTACCAAATTAGTACAGGTAAATCTTGGCCGAGGAATGGCAGCGTTTAAGGAATGTCTTCACATGGCAATAAGACAACGCGTTGCGTTGCTTCTACTCCAAGAACCGTATGTAGGTGCAAAAGCACATGTAACTTGTAATCGTCGCGTAATTCAAAAGACTACCAGTAATAGAGACAAACCGGTTAAATCGGCAGTCATCGTTGTTGATCCAACCTACTTAATCATAGAAAATCCAGAGCATGTTAGCGAAAATATTGTAGGATTCATAGTTAAAATAGGAAAACTTGTTGTAGGCATTATAAATGTGTATTTAGAGAAAGACGGTAACATAGAAGATGATATAAGGAAGATAACAAGAATAGTGCAAGATATGGACACGGAAAACATCATTCTAACAGGCGACTTTAATGCAAGGAGTCTCTGGTGGGGGAGCAGAGCTGAGGACGAGAGGGGTTTACTTTTATCGGAAATGATAGCTGAACTGGATATGAATGTCTTAAATCAGGGCAGTGACTCCACCTTTTACCAATACCGAGGAGGAAAGTTACATAGCAGCATAGTTGACGTGACCTGTTGTACGTCGGCAATCCTACATAAGATGGAAAGATGGAGGGTGGACCCCGATTTTGTCACACTATCTGATCATCGAGCCATACAGTTTCAAATGATAATTAATATCGACAAACAGAACGTCGTGCTAAGGAATTCCACTCGATTATTTAATACAGCTAAGGCAAACTGGTCTCTCTTCAGAAACGACCTGAAAGAAAGATTAGAAAAGGAGAACGTAATAGAGGATAAAATAAAAACCATACAAACACCAGAGGAGTTGGATGATATCGTAGACACATATGTCAAACAAGTAAAATTAGCATGCCAGAAATCAATACCAACTATATCTAAAAATGTCTATAAAACTTGTACACCTTGGTGGAATGCACATTTAGAAACAGAACGACGTAAAGTTATACGACTTAGAAGAAAGATAAAGTTTGCCAATACAAGACGTAAACCGCACGTTATTCAGGATTTCGTGGAGGCAAAAGAAAAGTATGTTAACAATATAATGTCAGCAATAACCACTAGTTGGAAAGAACTGTGCACTAAACAAGAAAAAGAAACTGTATGGCAAAGTATATACAGAATAATTAAAAGGTGTAGTGTAACTAATGAAGACAAACTGCTGAAATTAGGCGATGAAATTCTCACCGCAAATGAGTCTGCTATGTTATTGGCAAAAAATTTCTACCCAGATGATGAGAAAAACAAAGACACTGAAGAACAAACCAAAATTCGAGAAGAAGCGGACAAAATCACTAATGAACTAAGAGAAAACTCGATCATTTCCCATCGTAATTTTACAGAGATAGAAATAGAAGCTGTTTTAGATAAAATGGATCCTAAAAAAGCACCCGGAGAGGATGGCATCACCTCAGATATATGCTATCAGTCTTATAAGACCATACCTTCAGCACTAATGGCTATCTATAATAAGAGTCTCGAAATAGGTTATTTCCCTAAAACCTGGAAAAAAAGCTATAATAAAAATTATTCCAAAACCTAACAGAGAGGACTACACAGTACCCAAAGCCTACCGTCCTATTGGCTTACTTCCAATATTCGGAAAGATATTAGAGAAACTTTTTGTAACCAGGCTTCTTTGGCAATTGGGTAAAGAAGGTAAACTTAACAGCCGACAATACGGATTTATGCCGCAACGCAGTACGGAAGACGCCTTGTACGATGCAATGTCTTTTATAAAACAGGGGCTCAAGGAAAAAAAGGTTGTTGTGGTGGTATCCCTGGATATAGAAGGGGCATTTGACAATGCATGGTGGCCTCAAATAATAAAAGAAATGCATAGAAAACAAGTGAGCCAAGATATTCTGAGATTGATTACCAGTTACCTTTCTTCGAGATATATATCGTTAAAATATGCAGGTGCAGTAGTAACTAAATCCACCACTAAGGGGTGTATTCAGGGATCAACCTGTGGGCCTATATTTTGGAATATTCTCTTGGATCCACTCCTCGAAATTACATCACATCTGAAAGTACACGTTCAGGCTTTTGCCGACGACATACTCGTCATTGCAAAGGGTCACTCAGCAAAATCCATTGAGGAAGAACTGAACCCAGCCTTGGATCAAATAGTTGCATGGGGTAAAGCCCGTAAGTTAAAATTTGCACCACAGAAAACACAAGCAGTTATAATAACTAAAAAACTGTCTCCAGAACTACCGCAAGTAAGAATGGATAATGTTTATGTTCAACCATCAGCGAGTCTAAAAGTACTTGGAGTCACAATTGACAAAAATTTAAGATTCACAGAACACATTGATGAAGCTCTTAGGAAAGCTATCAATTTATATAAAAAAAGTGACTAGAACAGCAAAAGCACAATGGGGACTAAACTCCGAAATAATAAAAACTATTTACATAGCGGTAGTAGAACCTACGATCCTTTACGCGGCAAGTGTTTGGGCCGCAACGGTGAAGAAAGAATATGTGAAGAAGAAACTTGACCGTATCACAAGAATGTTTGCTATCTCGATCTGTAAAGGACATAGAACAGTCTCCTTTACTTCCAGTGTTCTACTAGCGGGAATATTTCCTCTGGACCTTAGAGCAACAGAACATCTAAAACTGTATGAAATAAGACGAGGGAAGCCCCTAACCCAACTTCCAGGAAGAATTTGCGAAAAACCAGAGAATCCATTTTACCTACCACATCCAGCCGATAGGCATCGTATACCTTTTGAGATTATTACCTCTGAGGAAGAAGAAAGTTTGATTGACTCCCAAACAACAAAATTATACACTGATGGAAGTAAGATTCAAGGTAAAGTTGGAGGAGCTGTGACAATTTGGAAGAACAATCAGGAAATACGAAAATCGACCTTTAGGCTGGAAAATTACTGTAGTGTTTACCAAGCCGAGCTCGCAGCAATTTTAAGAGCACTAGATCTGATGCACAAACATAAAGACCTAAAGAAAGGCATCATCCTAAGCGACTCACGCTCTGCCTTAGAATGCCTGAGTAACACATCATCTCTGCACCCATTAGCTGTGAAAATACGGGATCGAATAGAGTCACTATTAGACAAAGGTGGCGAAGTTAAACTTTGCTGGATTAAAGCACACATCGGCTTAGCCGGTAATGAGAGAGCCGATGAACTTGCGAAAAAAGCCGCACTTTCTAACAAGCAAACTCCAGCTTACGATAGATTCCCCTTGTCTTTCGCGAAGCGACTTGCCAGGGACTCTACTTGCATGGAGTGGCAGCTACGATATAGTGCAGCAACAACGGGAGCTGTAACAAAGAAATTTCTACCGGACATAAAAGAAGCGTATAGAACACTCAAGCATATAAAAATAGACAATCTCAAAGTACAATTACTAACTGGACATGGAGGTTTTAAGGCTTATTTATATAAATATAAGCTAGCGCAGTCGCCATCTTGTGTTTGCAGTAAAGACGAAGAAGAAAATATCGAACATCTAATAATTGACTGTCCTAGATTCGCCATACAACGACTTGACTGTGAACAAAAGATGGGGATGGCACTTACTATTAATAATTTAAGAAATGCAATTAACAACGATGACTGTCGGACCCATTTCCTTAAGTTTTCAGAAGCTGTTGTACGCTCTGCGGGTAAGGCAAATGGATCCAAACTAGTATAAGCTAGAATATAAGTTGATAAGCATTATAAAGATAAAACAACCAAATGTACCATAATGATAGTGTAATGTATAATGTAAATTAAAATTATTCTGAAAAAAAAAAATGCTTATAAGATTGTGGAAATTGTTATAAGATATTGGATGGCGCACAAAATAACTTGAATTAACAGAACATCTCTATATGCTATACACAATTTTTTTTATATATTGTATAAAATATTGATGTATAGTAGTAAAATTTAAACAAATTTATCAATAGTTTTAAGCATTACAAATGTAAGAGATAATGAGATTTAAAAAAAAAAAAAAAAAAATAATAAAAAAAAAAAGGAAAAGATAATATGCAATGTAACACTGAATAGTCAAAATTGTATTACAGTTAAATGATATGTCAGTAAAGAATGTTTAGTTAGTAAAAAAAAAAAAAAAAAAAAAAAAAAAAAGTTTTAACATACTTTGGATAAAACCAATAGTAATAAAGGATGCTGCATGTATAGCAGCAGTATTATAAAAAAAAAAAAAAAAAAAAAAAAAAAAACCTAACCTAACCTAACCTAACCTAACCTAACCTAACCTAACCTAACCTAACCTAACCTAACCTAACCTAACCTAACCTAACCTAACCTAACCTAACCTAACCTAACCTAACCTAACCCCCAGTCCGTACCGCCCGCCGTCTCGAACGCATCATTTTTAAAGTACTCCGATTGTTAAAAATCATTTTAGTGGGAAAAAGTGCTCCGATTTGCCTAAAATTTGTTGTAGTGCTGTATTTCGTGTTGTGCTATCTGGTGATTATATTGGTTTTGAGCTGTGGTGAAAATTTCAAGTGATATTCTAGGATATTTGCAACGGAGATAACCTAAAAGCTGCAAAAGGTAAAATTTTTACTCCTTTTTTGCAAACGCTGCTAAAAGGAGATCTGTAACATATACTTATATTAGTGTCATTTTAAGGGTCTTCCTAGCGCCTAGGTTTCTCCGTTAGTTCCAGATTTTTTTCGCTTGAAAACCACTGACCTACAGCGAAAAAACTGAAAAACCACGTGGCACCGAAATTACAAACCAGAAATCTGTACTTATTTTTGCTAATCTCTTACGGTGTAGGACTATTCCCGCAGTACAACAAATACTCCAGCAGGCAAATCTGGCAAATAACCAAGTAGTTATAGTTGAAAAACCAACTTTTTCAACTTTGTGTCAAATTTGAGGAGGCCTATCTTGTGATTTTCAGTGATACCTATATCTTTTTTATAGCTTATTCGACTACAAATATTATCAACTTTATTGTTACAAAAAATTGGATTTTTTCAACAAGCGGTTTGGGCAGAATAATTTTTTATTTAAAAAAACCATTTTCACGTGCTCCAGCTTCCGAGTTCTTGCGGATGGTTTTGGAGAGGTTTATAAATAGACGAAAAGATATTCTACAAAAAACCGTTTACAGAAATAAATTATCTCTAAAACTTAGGAAGTTACAGATTTTTTAACATATTTTTAACATTTTTCTCAAATAAAACCTAAAATACTGAAAATTTCCATAAATACAATATTTACCTATAATACCCTTCACGTGAGCTTTCGATAGAGCCCAAACTCGACCAATTTATTCCTTCCAATCACTGAGTTGCGAAAATTAGGTCTAATCAGCCGCCATTTTGAAATTAATATAACTCGAATATCTCACGTAACAGACGTGCCAAATTGGTCGTGCTGGGGCTTATTTTGATCAGGGCAGCTAGGCGAACCCGAATTTCGTGTTACCTTGCATGAAAAAGGTCGACGGGTTTGGACGCTGGAAACGTGTAGCCTCAACTGTCCTCTACAGATTGAACCCAAACTTGGACCATTTAGAGTAAGAAATAGCTGAGCAACACCAGAAATAAATTTTAAGACTGCCATATTGGAATTTTTTCCTTGTTTATAACTAAGGGCTCGATTGTCCGATCACGGTTGTGATTGGGCTTAAACTCTTTGGGTGGATCTAAGGAATCCAAATCTGGTCAAATCTTCAATAAAAAGACCGAAAGCTCAGGACCTAGAAAACGTGAAGTCTCAAATGCCTTGAACAGATTGATCCTAAACTCGGACCATTTTTGGCAAGGAACACCTGAGTAACACTCGAAATAAATTTTAAGACCGCCATATTGAAAATTTTTACTCTATTATAACTCTGGATCCGATAGTCTTTTAAGCGTCGAGTTTGGACTTAAACTTTTTGGCCTTACTAGTGGAATCCAGATCTGATAAAATCAACACAAAAAAAAAAAAAAACAAAAAAAATGTCATGCAAAAGTGGATCATCTGGTATGAGCTCAACTAAGTCGAAGCTATCAAAGACTGTTAGGGGCGTGAGCCCAACGCCTAGCGTGGCTCTACGCAAAAAAGTCCTTATTCAAAATGCGGCTACTTCTGGAAGGGCAGCTGAGGAGGAGCAAGATATTAAAGGCCCAGGAATTGGTGAACCAGGTCTTTGTCCAGACAACATCGTTCCATCTAGAAGCAGCTATGGAGTCTCTGGAGAAACTGTCAAGCCATTAGGACCAACGCCTCAGGACTTAGACTCCGAGAGTGGCAGTTCTATAACGATGGACATTGATAAAGAGCTGAGCGCGTTGGGTCTCTGTAAGCAGGTCCGGGAAACTGAGGATGAGTGGTCTGATGGCGACAGTGTAGTTAGTGAGAACAGCAAAAGATCTAGCATACTGCCACCAGCGTACAGGAGAGCAGGCATCTCAATGGATTTGGCAACTCAAAGAGCGAACGAATTCCTGCTCTCCGGAAAAGAGGCTCTGGAGAAGGCAGGCAATATGAAGAAAGAATGTAAGAGTGAAGTGCATGACTGTCTTCAGGGCCTCTATGAGACTGTGCTGTCGCTGTCCGACTCACGCTCTAGACATCGGCTGGCGGTGGAGCAAGAAAGATCCCGGGCTGCTAAGGAGCTAGTTCGAATTGAACGGGCCCATAACAAACAATTGGCTGAAATTCAAAATTTACAATTCAGTAAAGTTGTGGAGGCTTATGAGGCAATCAAAAGCACAGGCAAAGGCGTTGAGGCGATACGATCTTGGCTGAGCTACGAGATGGACGAACCAATAAAGGCGATAAGTAAAATCCAACTGGAAGTCCACGGATTAATTACTAAGACGCAGTCAACTTCAATAAGTGAAAAACCTACTACCCACTCTGAAAAACGCACAGAAAACTTTGCATTGCTCCTATCAAAAATATCCGAACTAAATCTAAATATAACAAACCTAAGTCAGGAGGTAGAGAAACTATCAAATAGGAATACAGACATAGAAACCACAAAACCGGTCCCAGAGCAGGTCATCACACAGCCGGATCCACGATTGGATCAGATAATTGCACATATTCAAGACACTAGAGAAATTATACAAACTTACAGATCTACAAATACACCAAGAGAAGAGATACAAAAAGAAGATCTAGAAAACCTAATCAAACCCATAACAAGCTTGCTAAAAACTGTATTAAATGAAATAAGCGATCTAAGGGACTGTAATACAACGCAAATGGCATTTCAAGCAAACAATGGACTTGGAACTGAACTCGCAATCACAGAGATTAAAGATAAGATAAGCGAATTGCAAAACATTAACAAGTTGAACACCTCTACAGAAGAAGCAAATAATCGAATAATTCAGGCAGAGCCAGCAAAAAGACTTACCTGGAGTAATACAAAATCCTACGCGGAAGTAACTGGCACTCCTCGTTATGCGATGATTGTTGAATCCATAGATCCACGGTCGACTTGTGATGAAATCTTAAAACAAGTCAAAAAGGATGTTGACCCTGTTGAACTCGGTATACGAGTAAATAAAATAGCCAAACTAAAAAATCAGCGAGTGGTAATCAACTGTGACTCCCAACAGGATAGACAGCTTTTAAAAACAGCCATCCGAGATACTTGTGACAGATTAACAGTATCCACGCCGTCAATCAAAAATCCCCAATTACGGCTAATAGGCGTCATAAACGACCTTGATGATGTAAAACTTGCCAGAGCCATAATAAGTCAAAACCGCAGCTTAATAACAGGTTTAACAGAGGACCAAAAAACCGTCAAGGTCATACGCAGGGCTAAGGGAAGAACTAAAGAAGTGATTAATGTCATACTTGAGGTTTCACCTCAAATGTGGACCAACTTGAAAAATCAAAAGTTGCGAATAGGCTATCAGGTTGTCCCATGTGTCGACCAATCACCATTGACACAATGTTACAAGTGCCTGAATTTTAACCACAAAGCTAAGGATTGGCGGAATAGTCTTTGTTGTGGATATTGTGCTGAGGGGCACGACACAAGAGAATGCGAAAACCGCAATAGTGCTCCCAAATGCTGTAACTGCATAAATGCAAAAAGGAGTAATATTCTGCACCCTGCATATAGTCCAGAATGCCAAGAATGGCAGAAATGGGATAAAATCTCAAGATCGTCTGTTTCATACTGCTAAGAAGCAGACAACGACAGATTAAATTTAAAGTGCAAGAGTCCCTCCGACTCAAAACAAATCATTAAAGTAATGCAAGTAAACCTGGATCGCGGCCGCGCGGCGACACTTGAATGCCTACGTTCAGCCGTGACGCAGGGTTACGCAATTATTTTAATGCAGGAACCATATGTTGGTATAAAAGCTCATTTATTAGCGGGTTCCCAATACCGCATTATTCAAAAGGTAACAAACGATAGAGATAAACCGGTTAGGTCGGCAATAGTTGTCTGTGATCCAAAAATTCAATTCACTGTAAACCCTAATCTTCTTTCTGAAGACATAGTTGGCATTGAACTTAAAATTAATTATTCTAATATAGGCTTAGTTAGCATGTATTTACACGAAAATGCAGACCTTGAACAAGATTTGAGAATTACATACAAACAATCAAGAATTACATAGCAAATATGAATACTGATGACATCATTATTGGAGGGGACGCCAACGCACGCAGCATCTGGTGGGGTTGCAATGCAGACGACAACAGAGGGAAAGCTATTATGGAAACGTTAGCTGAGCTAAATCTGGACATTTTAAATTCGGGGACAACACCAACTTTCGTCGCTCATAGATTAGGAAAATTATGCACTAGCATCATTGACGTCACAGCCTGTTCTTCATCATTATTACACCGAATAAAAGACTGGAGAGTAGATAACCACCTTTGCACAATCTCAAACCATAGAGCAATATTATTTAACCTACATACAGAAAACATCAAAACTGAAATCACTACCGGAGGCACAAGGAGATACAACATTAAAAAAAGCGAATTGGGAAAAACTAAAGAATCACATTAAAACAGAACTGCAAAAACAGAATATTGTAAAAAATCAAATTGACGAAATCGAATCACTTCAAGAGTTAGAAGATA